AGATACAAATCTTTCTTCTGGTATAAGTTGATCATTAACGAAACGAATAACTAATGTAAACATGTCTTGTCTATTTGAATCTGGTGTAGAATCAGCCATTATTGAATAATATGTACCTTGTCTAATTTGATTTAAATTAAGACGTTGTATTTCTTCACCAATAATTTGAATAAATTCATTTTGTGAACGATGACCCATATATGTTACCTAAAATGGAGAATTTATAGTATTAAATAACGTTGAAATTATAGACTTAGAGATACCTCTAGGTATTAAAATGATATTTTTTAGAATGACAATGTAAAAATTAATTACCTTATATGAACGATTTTCAGTTTCATTTAACCAACGTTGTAAAACAGGATTATGTCTTGATAATAAATTAACAAGTTGAACAAAATTACTTTCTTCATCCGTGTGTCCTCTAAATGCTATATCTTGACGTGCTAAAAATAACGAGCACAATCAATTAGTATTTTAATAGCTTCTTCATTTGATTTAGCTATACATTTACAATTGTACTCTAATGCTATCGTTTTTTAGCATAATCTCTTTATAAAAGTGCAGTATTTGCAGAATATTTGTTGTCGTTTGCACATATTTCGACTTTTATGGTAAGTGTTCTACATTCATCGTCATTTTAATAGCAATATTTCACATGGCTGCGAGAAATATGAATTGTCTCGTAAACGACAATTACTGTGGTAACAGTAAATTTATATGACTGAACCATCTAGGTACTAAAGTAAAAAGGAAATGCTTCTGTCGACTCGATTATGTGGCTGAGGCCATTTTATTTTGCGGAATGGCTATTGGCACTCCCGGGAGTGTCAATAAGGAGAGCTATTGGCACTCCCAAGAGTGTCAATAAGAAGCTATTGATACTCCCAGCAAGTGTTTGGGAGTGTCAACAAGGAGCTGGGAGTGCCAATAGACTCACCCTTTATTTTGAGCAGACAAGTTCAGTCTATCGTATATTCATCTGTCAAAGACGTTTGTTGCGTAGCCCATTGCAAAAGTCTGCATGATGAGAAAAAGACGTTCATCATCATCGAAAAGGAAGTGAAGACACTTGAAAACGCAGATGTTGGTTTCAGATACATTCTCGATGTTTTATTTCAATTAACAATAGCTCATTTTCAAGACAATTCTTTTCTCTACAACATGATATCAAACTTAGCTTTAGCAACCTTTAGTGAGACGCCTAAATTTCGATTAGAGAAAAAAAACTGTTTTTTTTATTTAGAATTTTTTGAAATATAATTTTTTCTAAGGTAAATGTTACTTTTAAAAGTCAAAAAGTAGTAAGTTACATTTTGTTCAGTTATCTCTCTCTTTGGAATCATGTATTGTTGAAAGTTTTAAACTAAAGAAAGGAGAAAAAGTGAGTGAAATACAAAAAAAGGGGCGCTTTTTAGTTGATTTTCTAGAGGGTTTTTCGAAAGAAAATCTGTATCCGTCTCTTCTAATTTTGAGATTTAAAAATTTGGATTTCTAAGTGATTTTGAATGCTTTATTCGATAAAGACATTAAAAGGGTAAGTCAGTTTTGAGCTGGATAATCAACTTTCTCAACGGTAGTACGGACTGCCTCTTGAAATCTAATAACTGTCAACCAACTGATGTGCATTCGTCAAATTTCTTAAGAATAGATCCATGCTCGAACTCCCATACGATAGACTCATTAACGGAAAAACTAGTCTGTTTTCAGGCTTATCCGCAAGAAAACCTAAAATAGTTTTAGACAATATCGCTCGATTTAAATATATATTACGTGAAAAATCTATGATGCGGTCGTGTTCAAGGTAAATGAGTTGTGGATACTATCATGCCTTCTCTTATTTCAAATAATACAAAATATTCTTTTAATTCTTTCTCAATTTCACATGTTATAATCTATTATTTATGGTTATCTTTACAAACATTGAATAAGTTCAACATGTTTAAAATATACAGGGTATTTTAGAAATACATTTTTAGTTTTTAGAATTTTATGTAATTTGCCTCTGAACAGTAAAAAATACGCGTTTTCTGGAATATTTTTCATTACTCAATGGAGTAATTTTCGAAGATAAAATCATGAAGTGTTAAAAACAATGTCTTTACGTTACTGTAGCACTGTATACTTCGGGCGTCTGCGCTCCACCAAAACAATTTTGTCTCTGAGAATGTTACTGGATAAAGGACCAATAGTGGTAAGGTCATTTTTCCTCCCACAGTATTTTCGAACAAAAATCAAATATCACAATCAGGACTGAATCCTGAAAAAATGCCTATTTTTATTTTTGTTTTGAAAAATGAACTTTTATTTTTTCTGAAAACGTTTTCTCCTTGATTCCCCAGAACAACTTCGAAACTCTTTGTTTTCAAGTTTTTCAAAAAATCCCATCAGTCGATATTTATTCATGACGATCACAAATATTACCTTCAAAATTTTAAAGGAAACAAAATTATGTATAGTTTTACCAATATTTTTGGGTTTTAGTCATATTCTTCAACTTTTTTCCTCTCTTGAGGTCATATTCGAACAGACCATGAAAAATCATGTATATAACTCATTAGATGGAGGACGAATTATGAGACAAAATGGGTTACAAGTAGGCAAAAGCTGCTATTTTTGGCTGTTTTTTCAGTTTACGATCAAAAACACAAAGTATTCCTATGTTTAAAAGCCTCATTCCAGAGTTGTAACCGGTCCGGTCAGGCCGGACCGGGCCGGTGCCGCACAGTGGGCATCCAGGCGGAAATTAGGAAGAAAAGCAAAGTTATTCGTTTTTCAAAAATAGATAGTGTAAAATGTAGCCCTGAAAATTCTCTATCGAATGGTGTATAAATGTCTATTTTGAGATCGAGTCGTTCGAGAGAAAATTGAACTACACGAAATGTGTATGGAGTACCACCCAACGAACTACCTTTGCATGTAACCGTGATTCTTTGTTCTCTCTCAGTGATATTTAACGATTGGAAAGCACATATTTGGAATCAGGCGATCCTAACCTATCTACTCATACCAAAATGTGTCTACTTCAATTAGAAATCGAGGAGTAGCAGCGCATCGAATCTTCTTAACGTCAGTCCCACAAAGGTCTACCTCAGTATAGTCGTTTGCCCCCCGCTGCCCCCACTTAAAAGTAACATCTAAATACACATAAATGGTCTCCAGCACCTACTCTATCTACAGTACATTCGACTTTTCTCGATGTTTTTTTAAAACCGAATTACGAATTTTTCAAAATCCCTAAGGTTTTCTGCGTATTTCGAAGATTTCTCATTCGTCAACACACCTTTCATCAAATATAATACCATATTCGGGATCAGCGTGAAAAGCTGCATCGAATGACATATAGCTTTTTAATTTTTGTGCAGAAATATTTTCGGTCAAACTACAGTTGAAAGCCTCCCCGCAGCAAATTTTGCTAGGAATTTGGATATTTATTTTAGTAATAGTACACAAGTCTATAAACACATTTTCTATAGGTTTTCGAATATGATCTCTCCAACAGTGAGGTTTTCGAAACGTAAAAATATTTTTTATGGGTTTTCCAGAGATCTGGTCTCCAGAAAACCCACAAGGAATTACTTTTGGGTTCTGAAAATCTCATCATTAGAAAGAGCATATTCGAAAACCTATAGAAAATCGTGTTTGTAGGCTTTCATATCACTTCTACAGCATATGTCCGCCTGCTCTATAGAAAAACGCCCACTGTGTGCCGTACCGGACCGGTTGAGTGAATTGGACCGGCCGGTTTTTACCGGAATCTGAACGACATTTCTCGGTGGCTGGACAAGTTGTTACAGAACAAAGATCTCAACTGGATCCGGAATGTGTAGAATCACTTGTTGTATTAAAAGAAGCTTACTTGAACAAGATATGGCCAATATCGAAATAATAACACTTATTTTGTACATATGTGTTTCATATAGTTTGTGAGTTGAATATGTAATAATATGAT